AGGTTGGCTTTGAATTCGTGATCCTCCTGCCTCAGCCTCTTAAGCTGCTGGGATTACAGGTGTGTGCCACCGCGCCCGGCTCAAGGGACTTTTGATTGGAATTTATCATTAAAGATGAGTGTGCCTTGCTGTTTAAAAGTTACACCTCCAATTTTAAAAAAAGCCTTCAAAATGCCAAAAAAAAAAAGAAATTCCAAAAAATTTAAAAATATATATTTAAAAATAAAGGAAGAAAGAAAAGAGGAAGGTAGGCAGGTAGAGACCAGCCTTTCCAAAGAGCATGTCCCTTATCCTTACCTAAAGAAAAGAAGCTGATTGAGCTTGGGGGTCTGGCTCAGTCGTATGGCACCTATCTAGTGAGCATGAGGCCCTTGGTTGCATCTTCAATACCTCTCTCTCACACACACACAAAATTAAGACTAATGTTGAGGAATTAAGTCTAAAGAGGGCAACTGAGCTGTGGTTCTAGAAGCCTGCCTTGTGTATGAGCCTCTAATCCTCTCTCCTGTCCTGCAGGCTTAGTGTCTCTAAGAATCACCTACCTGTGTTGGGAGAGCTCTGTGGGTCCTGAAAGCTGCATGGAGCCTTCCCAGGTGACCTTCGCTTCCTCTGACACAGTTTACCATCATTCATTGTGGAACCCGGATGCAGGGTTTTAGAATTTAATTCTTTCCAGCATGGGCTCAAATAACAGTTTCATTCTCCACCCTCATTTTCACAGGCTGGTAATTTTGAGACCATTACCATTTGGGCTGTGTTGTTCCCATCCCAGATGTAAATAGGAAGGGGACTTTCATAAGTAGCTCTGAGAACTGAATGGTTCTCTCTCTGGACCTATTTTTAACCAAAGTGCTCAATAGATGCTAGCCTGCCAGCAGCCATAAAACCTGTGTGAACCAAATAGAAGTTAATTATAGACAGCAAAGACTGTTACAGACGCAAGCAGAAGTTCATAAAAAATGAAAGTGTTTTAGTTTTCCTCTTATAATTAAGAGAACTACCATTAAAGAAAAGAATTACAATGGGTTTGAATGATGCAATTAATTTTTCATTGCATCCACTAAATAGAATATATTTTTCCCTGTGATCATGAGGCATTTTCAATAAGTCAGTACTTTGGGATTTACTTCAAAATAATGGGAGGGGTACTAGAGAAACAAGGCTGACCATGAATTGATGATCGTGGAACCCCGATGATGGGGATGTGAAGCTTCATGGCAATATTTTCTCCTTTTGTGCACGGTAGAACTATTCTAATATAAAAGGTTTTAAAATGAAAAAAAAAAAAAGAAAATGAATAAAAAGAAAACCTTCATAAAAACTTAAAAGCTGAGATTTAATGGGCCATATTCTCTGATCATAATCCAATAAAATTAGACACAAATATGATTCCAATATCCCCTTTTTCTCCTTCAGTGCTGGGGATTGAACCCAGAGGCATTCTATTATTGAACTACAACTCCCGTTCTTTTTCTTTTTATTTACTCACTTATTTGATTTCGTGGTGCTGGAGATTTAACCCAGGGTACTCTTCCACTGAGATATACCTCCAGCCCTTTTTAAAATTATGATTTTTATTTTGAGACAAGGTCTCCTTAAGTTTCTGAAGATGGTCTCAAACTTGCAATTTTCCTGCCTCAGCTTCCCGAATTGCTGGGATTACAAGCAGCCCACCTCATCCAGCCTGTTTCTCAAAAAGTCTAGTTATAGTTGTCCCTCTATCCTCAGGGGACTAGTTCTAGTACTTCTTCAGATACCAACATTCACAGGTGCTCAAAAAAGTCCTTATATAAAGTGGTGTGGTATGTGCACATATCTGTGAACATTCTCCTATGTAGTTTATTTTTAAATCTTTATTTATTTATTTTTGCAGTCCTGGGGATTGAACCCAGGGAATCTGCCACTGGGTTACATCCCTGGTCCTTTTTTCCATCTCCTCCTCCTCCTCCTCCTCCTCCTCTTCTTCTTCTTCTTTTAATTTGAGACAAGTTTCCTTAAATTGCTGAGGCTGACCTTGAACTTGGGCTCCTCTGCCTCAACATGGGTTTAGAGGCATGCATCACCATTATATAGTATAAGTAATTTGTAGATTACTTATAATACCTAATACAATGTAAATGCTATATAAATAGTTGTTGTATTATATTGTTTAGGGAATAATGATAAGAAAAAATGTTTGCTATGTGTTTTGTATGAAAGCAATTTTTTAAAAAAATATTTTTTATCCGCCATTGGTTGACTCAGAGGATGCAGAATCCTTGGATACAGAAATTAAGAAACATGCCTAATCATTAGATAGGGAGGAAATCAAAACTAAAATTAACAATTATCTAGGAAAACAATGAAAAATAATATTTTTATTCACTCATTAATACGTGCATCCATTCATTCATTCATTCAATGTGCCTGTATCGAATGCTCATGGTGTACTTGGGACCATAACAGGTGCAAGGCCCTGTCCATGTGGATCTTACATTCTCATGACATGGGGAGACCAAAACAAAGAAATTGGGGAACCTGCATTTAAAATCAAATACATTTCAAAAAGTAAAACAAAGAAAGAAAGAAATTGGGGAACCTATGAAGCACCACATAGTAATATGTGCTCAACAGACCAAGCAGTCTAAGCTAAGCCGTCAGGATGGGGTCAATGGGGTATGGTCATGTGTGGGGCTGGCTAATTCAGTAAGATGGGTAGCAAAGTCCTCTTGGAGACATGACAATGGGGCAGATTTGAATGAGGCAGGGCAGCAAGTCTAGGAGAGCCAGGCTTGGAGCTCTTGGAGAGGGGGTGTCAGTGTCCTTTCCACACTAGTGCCCAGGGCCACTGGTCTGAACCTGTGCTCAGAGTTGGGCAGCAGGGGCTGGGCCCAGGCCTGTTCCTCAGAAGCAGCCTGAGAGAAGGGACCTCTCCAGGGTGGGGGATAATCCAGCTGTACCTTGGGGCACCCCAGTTGATTCCAGTAGTGGGCTGGCTGCCTGGGGAAGTGGGTACATACTGCCTGGTGGATGGCACAAGGGAATCACTGGTCACTTCTCTGGGGTAGCAGTCATACCAGCACCTTAGCTCAGTGTCTAGTAGCCTCTTTCATAGCTGGGACAGAGCATGTGTGGCTACATGTCACTTCACACATTCATTCATTCATTGTGTGCTGAGAACATGAGCTACTTGGGGACAGGGATCCTCAAGGAGCAAGCAGGTGGCTCCAGTTTGTGTGTGGTGAGCTAACTGGCAAGCCGTACCCCACTGCCCTGCGCCACTGTGAGCACCCTGAGATTCCCGGGAAGGAGGTCCAGGGGGAGCTGGTGACAACCAGGCCCAGATGTGGTCCAGACTCTGGAAAAACCCTGGAACCAGGGATGAGTCATGATTCGTACCTCAAACTGAGACTAGCCAGGTATGAGTGGCACTCACCTAGAATCCCAGTGACTTGGGAGGCTGAGTCAGGAGGAGCGCAAGTTTGAGGCCAGCCTTAGCAACTTAGTGAGACTGTATCAAAACAAAAAATTAAAAGGCCTGGGGGTGTAGCACAGTGAGAGAGTGCCCTGAGTGCCATCTCTTGTATGTGTGGAGGTATGTGTGGGAGGGTAGAGTTTCAGTTAAGTATTCTTAACTTTTAAGTAATTTTTAAAAGTTGAAGTGTTTTTTGTTGTTGTTGTCGTTGTTTTGTTTTTTGTTTTTTATCTTCTCCTTTTGTGATGCTGGGAATTGAACCCACAGCCTGGAGCATGCTAGGCAAGCTCTCTACCACTGAGCTATACCCCAGCCTTAAGTAATTCTTAACTGCCCTGTAGGGTAGATTATATTATCCCCATTTTCCAGATGAGGAAGCCTCAGCTCAGGGTTTAAGTAACATGATTAATAGAGGGCAGAGCTGCTTCTCTCCAGGAGCCTCTGACTCTCTTTCTGCCCTTCGCCCTTCCAGGAGGCGGGGCAGGATGAGTTTCAGGAGCCTTTGTAGCTACTGGTGGTCGTTGCTACAATGGGGCAGGGTGGTGGGGAAGAGTGGCTATGGACACTGGGAGTCCTTGGGTAGGAGAGGACACTGGGGCAGTGTCTTGCCCTAGAACATGGCTCCTCTTGAGCACCATTCAAAAGCTGGCTGCAGTCCTCCTGCCCAAGGGCACATCCATTCAAATACAGGGAGAATCCTGTAAAAGGGGACCAGCAGCCAAGGGAAACAGTCCCAGGCCCAGAGCACCTGTGATAGCGTACCTAGTGTATCCCTGGATATTAAGGTACCTAGCACGGAGTGTGGCACATAGTAGGTGCTCAATCACTGGTTACCATTTTTATCATGAGGACTTAACTTGCTTATGCAGAAATTGAATCGGAAACTGAATTTCCTTCTAGGCTGAGAACAGGAAAGCTCTCTAGGGCCATGGTTGCGGGAACCAGATGAAATCTGTTTCTAATGGGGGTTCTGTGGAAGCTCAGCCAGCAGTTCTATCAAATTAGCAGGTCCAACAGACACAAGGGAACAGATTTCTTCCTGAGCCTGGACCCTACTATCCTTTATCCCTTGGAAATCAGATTATGGGGAGGGCAGGGCCAGGGAGGAAACTGAACTAACACAATTACCAACTCGTGCTTGTCCATCTCAGCCTGGGAGCAGGGCAGGGAGGAGAGAGCAGAGGGGAAGCCAGAGTCTGTCTCAGGAAATGACAAATCCAAGAAAGTAGACAGGACAAGCCCACCCCTACCTCACTTTGGGCCCATCCTGGGATTAGTGGGTTCATCTCCACCGTGCTCCATGGAGTTCCACGTTAGGGACCCCGGTCCCGGATCCCAATGTGGGCCTTCCTTTTATGGCCATGATGCCATCGCCCTGCCTCAGGCTCCCCAGGGATGGGGTGTTGGCTTCCATCAAGGCCTTCTATGTCATTATTGATTCACAGGCAGCCAACTGACCTGCAGCCAAGACTGCTGATAGCTGGTCTTTGATTTGCCGTAAACTAGATTTTGGACTTTGGGAGATCCTTAGGCCCCGTCTCCTTACCTGTAAATGAGGTTTATGATCCTATGGTGCCTGTTGAGCTCCTGTTCTCGGCGTCTATCCATCTTCCCCCATTGTGAGGCAGGTTGGGACCTCCCAGGTGGGCTCTGATGGATCCAAGCCACCAGCGCAGCACCACGCCTCCTGTCTCCGTGGCTACCGGAGCTGTAGGCCTTGTCTGGCTTCAGACTTTCCTTTAGGGACTGCAGGAAGTTTTTCTTGTCTTATACCCAAATGGGAACAAGGCAGCCTGTTGCCCTGAGTGATGGTGACAACCACAACACCTGGCAGGAAGCCAGACCTGAGATAAAGCAGACACACTTGGGCAGCAGAGCCTAGAGAACTGCATAGAGAGAAGCAGAGCCACCATAAATCTCGTGGCCACCTCATCAAGGCACTCTTCAGTTCTATTAGCAGCCAGTCAGTCGCTGTGACTGTTTCATGCAGTTTGAGTTGTATTTTCTGTCACTTGCCATCACCAGTCTCCTTATGGACTAAGACTTTTTTTCGAGCTTCGAAGTGCTGGGGCTCCCCATGGAAAATTGTCTTCTGTCATTTCCATGCGCTGCCTGCAGTCACGCCCTGTGTGGCTCACTGTGGACATTCTGATTTCACAGGAAGGAAGACAGGGGATTGGTTTGGACAGTCCTCTCATTTCCCGCTGATGTCAGTAAGCCAGGGACCATGGGAACTTTCCTAGGTTACACAGCAAAAGCCCATCCACAGAGAACAGTGTAAATGACGAGAAGAGCAAGTTCCCACTGAACTCAGCTAGTGAGCCTCTGCATCCCCTGTCGACTGCTACTAGTTTAAATTGGGATTCTGTTTAAATTCTCAACCCAAGAGAGCTGACTAATAAAATCACTTTATTCATCTGTTTCCCAGCACCCAACACTGTCTGGCATGCAGCAGAATTTCAATCAGAATTATGACTTTACTTCCCACCATCTGAACCTTTTTACTAACCTCCCCAAACTCATGACTGTATTAGAATTTTTTGGCTCTCTGGAGAAACAGTGTTTGGGGATTCAGCAAAACTCCACCAGGTACTACCTATTTAGGTATGGTGCTAGGAGTTTTCATATATATGGTTTTTCATTTATTATCCAAAACTGCCCAAGTTAATTTTATGCCCACTTCCTAGAGAGAGAAACAAGCTCAGAGAGATTGTGTAGCATTTTAAAGTTGCACAGCTAACATGACAAAGTTAGGAAGGAATCACGTCTTCTAGTCACATCATTGATAATAATCCTCTGGTCAGGTAACAGAACCCCAAAGGGCCTACACGTCTCTCCCAACTTCCACTGTGAGGAAAGTCTCAGTCACAATCTGGTGGTGACTGTTCTTGGACAGTGGGGACAGCAGTCTGGAGACTGGCAGCAGGAGCATCCTATCGGTTCTCCTATGGAGTCAGCTCTGAGTCAGTTCTAAGGAATCCTTGGCCAGTGCTTGTTTTCCAAACCTGAAGGGCCAGAGGCACGTATATGCCATTTGAGGGCAATGGGCCACAGGCAGGGTCAAGGTAGGGGAATCTCACCTAGTTCCTGTTTGAAACCAGAAGCATAAAGAGGAAGCACCCAAGAGAACCCATGTGAACATTCTCTCCACTCCTTTTCTTTATTGAGATATAGTTTGTGTACCATAAAATCCGGGTGGATCATCTAACATATCCCATTCAATGGTCTTTGGTTTATTTCCTCAGTTGTATAACCATGGCTGCAATCCAAGTTTAGAACATTTTCATCATCCCCCAAACAGATCTCACATTCAGTAGTGCTCACTCTCCATTCTTCCCCCCAAATTCCTTTCCCACCCTCGCAAACTTAACCTACCTTCTGTCTCATAGATTTGCCTATTCTGGAAAGTTCATATAAATGGAATCATATACTAAATAGTCTTTTGTGACTGGCTTCTTTCAGTTAGTGTAATGTTTTCAAAGCCATCCGCTTTGTAGTAGGAATCAGTACTTCATTCTTTTTTATGGCTAAATAATATCCAGTTGTATGGATAGACCACATTGATTATCCATTCAGCAGTTGATGAACATTTGGGGCTATTTTCCGTTTTCTGGGTATTCTGAATAATTCTGCTAGGAACATTCATATGCAAGTTTTTGTGTGGACCCCTCTTCTCTGATTTATGTGTTCACCCCATCTTTCTCATATAGGTGATAGCTCTGGTTATGTAGCAACACACACCTTTCGTGTTTATGAAAAATGTGTATTCTTCTTTTGTGTGTCTTCATTTTTTGCGTACATGTATAATACTCTGTTTGAGTTCTTCTTCTCTATTTCTGCCTTCTCTCAGCACTGTGTTTTTAGGATCCATCCATGGAATACCTCTGATCGTGACTTCCAATAGCTATGTGGCCCCAGGGATGGGTCACCGCCACATTTTGTATTATCTGTTTCCATGGGGATTTCCAGATCTTGGCTACCACTCACAGACCCACAGTGGACATCCCAGTACATGTCCACTGCAGGACCCTGGTGGCAAAGCCTAGAACGTGTGCCCAGGAGTGGCTTCTTGCTGGTTCATAGAATGTGCACACTTCCTCTGAGGAGTGCTGGCACCAGGACACTCTTTGCCCTGCTGGCAGGTGACAAGACTGGGGACACAGGAAGAAGAAATTGATGTTTTCATCTTTTCCCACACAGAAGTAATAGCTAAAACACACTCTTCCTGCAGCTGCAGGACCTCAGTTCAGAGATGGCCACAGCCTGCTGAAAGTGACACAAATCCTTCTTTTCATTTCAGGTCTCATAGCATTTGCCAAGCGTCTAGATCATTGATTTCCTTTAAACATTCTGGTCTCATTAAGTGAAGATGTTGTTGTTGTACTGGGAATTGAACTGGGGAGGCTTTACCACTGACTTACCTCCCTGGTCCTGTTTATTTATTTTGATGCTGGGGATTGAACCCAGGGCCTCATGCATGCCAGATAAGCACTTTACCACTGAGCGACATCCCCAGCTCCTCTCCAGTCCTTTTATTTTATTTTTTATTTTTTTTTGAGACAGGGTAAAGTTGCTGAGACTGGCTTTGAACGTGTGATCCTCCTGCCTCAGCCTCCCAAGCCACTGGGATTATAGGTGTGTGCCACTGCTCCCAGCATCATAATTGGTTTTTCTTAAAGTGAAAGCCATATTCCTACTCAACAGACCAAAGCCGAGAGTGAACTGGGCAGTGTCCAGACAGTGTTGGTACTGTCGCTGGGAGGGCTGGCTGGTGGTGGAGGGGAAGCAGTGACTATGACTGTCTAGTGCTCCCTCCAGCTGCTGCCCCTTTGTTCCTCTCCCCAGCTTCTAGTTTTTAGAGTCTAGCTCTGCAGAGAAGCGTCTGTGGCTAGCTCTACTTAGAAGTATTTAGGTCAAAAAGGGAACCCTGCATTTCACAACACTAGCTGTATTTTTATGTATGTTCTCATAAATGCTGAAAGAGGATAGATTAGGAGAAGGAGATGACGTTTTTGGAGAAGTTACCAGGATCCCCTATCTCTATTTGTCCCCTACATTTTGCTTAATAGCAGTATCATGCACAGTGAAGCCAAAGATCATTGGACCGGAAAGAAGACATGATTATGATGACAATAATAGCAGACTTTCCCTCAGTACTGGGGACTGAGCCCAGGAGTGCTCTACCACTGAGCTCCATACATCCCCAGCCCTTTTTATTTTCAGATAGGGTCTTGCTAAGTTGCTGAGGTTGGCATCACCTTAAACTTGTGATCCTCCTGCCTCAGCCTTCCTCCGCAGCTGGGATTACAGACAGGCGCCACCCCTAGCCTAATAGCTGCTCTTTTTTTTTTTCCCTAGTGCCTTCTGCATATGAGTGTGCAAGGTTCTTTATCTGTTTAACTGTTTTCACAAATCTATACAATAGTATTGAAAAGTAAGTTTCATCTCAACTTTGGTGTGAAGAAATTCAGGTTCAAAAGAGCTAAAGGACTTGACCCATGTCATAAAGCAGAGAGAGTTTACCTAAGACTCTCTGCCTTTATTTTTGCACGTTGAATCCAAGGCCTTGCGCCTGTTAAACACATGTTCTATCACTGAACTACACCCCCAGTCCCTCTCTGGCTTTCTTCCTACTACTCCATTGTACTTGGGCCCCTTCTTTCCACCCCTCCAGGCCCTTGTCTTCTCCCACTCTATTGCTCTTCTGAGGCAGACAGGCTCTGACTCCAAGCATGAGAGAAGGAGGTTTCTTGAAACCAGAAGGGGCTCAGGGATCAGGAAAACAGTTTACAGAGTTGCAATAATCCTATCCTTTTTTCCCTGTGCTGGGACTGAGGAGCAGGAGAAGGTGGAGGTCAATGCCCAGAAATGGGCAGAGAGGATCTGGGGCACAAGATCTAGGCATGGTGCAGAAGCCGCTTCTTAATCTTTTTCTCTGATCTTGTTGCCCCCCAGTGTAGGGCCCACAGTGTTTGCTCAGGGCAGGAAGTTTTTTTTTTTAATATTTATTTTTTAGTTGAAGTTGGACACAATACCTTTATTTATTTTTGCATGGTGCTGAGTATTGAACCCAGGGCCTCCTATGTGCTAGGCAAGCGCTCTACCGCTGAGCCACAATCCCAGCCCAAGGGCAGGAAGTTTTAACAGCAGAAGGGCTTAAGAAATTGGGTAGCTGAACTCCTCCTGAGCCCTAAAGTCACATTGAGGACTGAGCGAAAGAAAGTTCCTGAACTGTGGGCCCATCGAGTTTCCTCCCACCCCAGTCTTACAATAACCTGGGCTCTTGAGCTGGCTGGTCATAGGGCTAGAAGAGAGGAAGCACGGAAGGCTGAGCGGAGAGTGTGCACACTCTGGAAAGAACCTGGGGTGCACTCAGCATGGGCACTGGGGGAGGGGGACAATGGCAGAACCTTGTTCTGCACTGGTTCCCACTCATGCAGCTTGCAGGACTGGGGAAGCAGCAGGGGCAGGTTGCACCTCCCGCAGCTCTAGGACCACCACAGTGCATAGCAGCCCCTGGGCTTAGGAACTACACAGACTGGAGAAGCACATGGCAGTCTTGCCCTCTGTGCCTGGAGATCATCCTAGAGGCTTCCTGTTATCCTAGATTTTGAAGGTTGGAACACTGGAGCTTGAAAGAAGTGAAGACCTGGCACCAGAAACTCCAAGAACTGAACAGGTTGTCTGTCTCCTGTTGTGAGGTCAGGTCCTCAAGGTAAAGACCAGGCCAGAGATCTCCACCCTGCCTGTCAAGGTGTTGTTTCTGGCCTCAAGACAACCAGGGTAGAGTTCTTGATCTTTCACTGAATTAACAATCACAACAGCCAATTCCAATTAGAATAGAAAGTCTAAATGATCTC